AGAATGAGTATTCCAGAACACTTAATTGTACTCATGAGGAATCTGTACATAGATCAAGAGGCAACTGTTTGAACAGAACTGGTTTAAAAGCAAGAAAGGTATGTACCATGGTTGTATTCTTTCAGCATACTTATTCAATCTATATGCAGAACAAATAATTCTAGAAGCTATATTACATGAAAAACATGGCATCAGGATTGAAGCAAGACTTATTAACAACCTGCCATTTGCAAATGATACAATCTTGCTTGCTGAAAGAGAAGACAACTTAAAATACTTACTGATGAAGATCAAAGACCATAGCCTTCAGTATGGGTTTTACCTCAATTAAAAGAAAACAAAAATCCTCACTACTGGACCAATAAATAACATCATGAAAAATGGAGAAAACACTGAAGTTGTCAAACACTTCATTTTGCTTGGATCCACTATCAACACTCATGGAAGCAGCAATCAAGAAATCAAACAACAAATTGCATTGGGTAAATCTATTGCAGAAGACCTCTTTAAAGACATCTTTCAAGAGCAAAGATGTCAGTTTGAGGACTAAGGTAGGCCTGACCCAAGTCATGATATTTTCAGTAGTTTCATATGTATGTGAAAATTGGACAATGAATAAGGAAGACTGTGGAAGAATTGATGCATTTGAGTTATGGTGTTGGAGGAGAATATTAAAAGTATTATGACTACTAGAAGAACAAACAAATCTGTGTTGGAAGAAGTACAGTCAGAATGCATTTTATAAGCCAGAATGGCGAGACTTTGTCTCTCATGCTTCAGACATATCACCAGGAAGATCAGTCCCTAGAGAAGGACGGACATCATGCTAGGTAAAGTGGAGGGTCAGCGAAAAAGAGGAAGACCGTCAATGAGATCGATTTGCACAGTGGCAGCAGAACTCAATCTTAAAGACTGTGAGGATGGTACAGGACTGGTCAGTGTTTCATTCAGTTGTACATGGGTTCCTATTAATCTGAAATGACTCACCTGCATCTAACAACAATAACAACTTCTCCAATAATCCCCATAACTATGAGTAAGGTGTGTGAGTACTATGTGGCCATTGCAATTGATTATCTAACCAATTTGAGCAGAGAGGACTGTAGGGGGAATGGTTGGTGCTTCATATTTTACACTAAGTGTAATTAATGTACAAGTACTTTTACAAAGTACAAGAAAGTATTATTCTCTGCACCTATAAATGCAGTAGCTCAAAAGAGGAAACAAATCCCTACTCCAAGAATTACTCCCACCCCCTCCACACAAAGAGTAGATAGGGATGGGCAACTTAGACATTGGCTACCCAAAATGTGGGGGAGGGATACAAAGGTAAGAAGTGACAGGCTTACAAGCTTTCAAGAGGGAACCTAGATCGACAGGGTGGGGAGGATGGTAGAGTCTCCAGTTGAGTAGTATCCAACCTGTCTAGGAAAGGCTGATGAAAAGAAATGCAGATGGGTCTCTTGTGATGCAAGGGCGAATAATTGTTATCAGGACTGATTGTGAGGACTGGAAATGTAAAGATGGATATTTTATATCAAGGAGGGGAGTGACTAACCTTTCAGTCTAGGAGCGGACGGCCCTGGGACCATCACTGGAGAAAAGTGGAGATCGGGACCCTCCCCAGAGAAGCAGTGAGCCCTGAGATACAGACAGAGAGGATGACATGAAGAGATCGAGTGGCTAAGGACTTGAGACCCAGAGAGGGAAAGGAGCTGTGTGCTGAGGACCAGGGGTGGGGAGTGGGGGGGCTTGCAGTGTATACCCTTTGGTTGGGTGATGATGCATGGATGGGATGGTAACTATGGCAATGAAACGATGTATGATAGAATGAATGTAAAACTAATGTTCCCCCATGTAAACTATCACACAATAAAAAAAAAGAAAATATTATTCATTAGTGTCTCAGGATCCATAGCACCTAAAGATGCTTAAAATTTTCTTTTGGAAAGTCTAGTACTCATTTCTTTGATACAAATGAAGCCACTAATTAGCTATTTTCAAATATATATGTATAGGAAAAATATACTAAAAAAGTTTTTATTACTGTAGGATTCCAAACCATTCTTCAAAAAAAGTTTTTATTACTGTAGGATTCCAAACCATTCTTCTAAGAGTTATCTGAAGCACACAGTTTAAAAATGATCATTTAAAATTATTTAATCTTAATCTTATTACATTAAAAAAAAACACTTAAGAACATAGAATATAAAGAACATAAGAAAAATTGTTGACTTTATTGGTATTACAGTTCTGCTTTAATACACCCTAAATACAAGCACAATTGGTAAACATTAATTACTTAATCCTGCAAAACAATATGCCAAAAAGATCAATCTTAAAATATTTATAAAAATCACAATGTATAAAATATCTTCCTCATTTATCCTAAGGACTCCACATACAAATGTAAAAATGAGAACTTGCCAATCATCACATCAAATAGTGAGCTACTGATTAAGTAGTAAAAAATGATTTCTGACTTTTAAATCAAATAGCTCCAGGTAAAAACACATGTTATCTTTCCCACATATGCTATCTTTGTATTCTGTGCAGAGTTCCAAGGCAAAGATTGCTTCTGGCCTTATGAATTAGCAACGGTGATGACCTGTGTGGCTGACTTATCACAGGTCTTTTATTCTTCTTCCCTGTTAGATCCTTGGCTTCTTTGGGAGGAGGCATATGAATTGGTTTCCATGGAATTGGATTATAAAAGGCTGGTTCTGGATAGGAATTTCCACTGTAAAAGCCTAAAAATATATTTTTAAAAAAGAACAAACAAGAAAAAGAAGCTTCTTGAAATCAATGAAATTACTTATTTTGAAGTCCTAGCAAAATGTTTTAAAAAAAAAACAGAATGGCAAAAAATGTCATTGATAAACCAGTTTGAATCCTTGAAAGCTGAACTCTTGAATACTAACTAGCTCTTCTTTTATTAAGAAGATAATTTTATGAAGAAAATAACTTCACAACTCTTAAAGAAAACCTTCATTTGCTTAATTCTGTTTAGAGAATTAGTGATTGTGTACTAGGCGCCACCTGTCAGGCACTACGGCTTACAGAAAATCATTTAGTGTGCAGATGTAGCTAAACTGAATCAGAATTCTTGGTCAGAATCATTAAAATTCTCAATTACGGTCACTCAAATTAACAAGATACCACAGTATCACTGTGCTTTCCATTAATAACTTAAAATGCTCTCCTACTGAAACACACAAGGTGGTTAATGCATTGTGATGTCTGATTAATAGCTGTGTGTTGGAAGAGATTTGCAAATCACACCCAAATCTTCCAGTCAGGAACTACTCATCAACTCCTTTATTTCTTAATTTGAAAAAGGGATATGGGCATAAAAAAAACAGATATTTCAGAGTAGAGCATTTGCAAACAAATATATTATTTCTTAGAATTAAATTCAATAAAAACATAAAACAATGAACAGAGTAATCCATTATTTGAGCAATAAGCTTTTAGTCGATGTATTCCCAACTAAACTTTTAACTTCACCATCTAATCATATGATTAAAATCCCTTCTTAATCATTACCTTTTTTCAAACAAGTAAGAAAAAAAGCCAGCAGACTGCGCTCAGTAGTTGTCAAGAGTGACCTTTGTGACATATAAGAGAGGCCTAAATCCTGACAGCAGGAATGTGTCCTTCAGATACAGGCAGCCCACTTTGACTGTGAAGATATGTCAACACACACTTCACCAAGATGGTCAAAACAAAGTCTGGAATATGTTCTATTGTGTGAACAAAATAGAATGGGAGTATTTTTCATAATAAATCACTTAAACAAGTGAAGGCAGCTGTCAGCAAGGTATGAGCTTCCAACATGCAGCGCAGAGAAAAGCATGCGTTGCCATTTATAATCAGACCAAGCCTAAAGGCTATCTGGCTTTGTGTGGGGTTCACGTGTTGTCTACTATCCCACTCTGCAAAAACACTGTACCAGAGGCTTTGGGGCTGTGCTTTAGAGACAGTCATCAGAAGGGAAGGAAAAGTGGCTCATTGGATATATCTTCATTAAACCTTTATCATCTATGATATCTAAGAGAATTTTACTTGTTTCTTACTGTTAGAAATTGTTACTTTAGAGCCTAAGTTTGAGTTTTGCAACTATTGACCTTCATAAATTATAATCATCTGATTTAGGTAAAATGATAATAAATTTCTAGAATATGCACAGGAACATATATAATCTTTGGAATAATAGTACTTTAGAAGAAAAATCATTTTTACACATTCTATTTCTGTCCAAAGGACACTAAATGTGCAATATTTGCTCCTGCAAACCCTACTTAAGTACTAGCTACTAGCATAAAAACAAACCTGTAAGTTTTCCATTGGCATAACCATAGCTCTTTGCAGCTGGACGAGGTTTACTTTTTGCATTTTCCAACCATTCCTTAAATTTTTTTTCTGCTGTTTCCTTTTTTTCTTGTAATTCAGCCTGTCGTTGTTTTTCTTTTTCCTTAAATGACAAGACCAAAAAATTTCCAGGAATATTCTGCAATTACAATTTCCAATCAATATCTACTGATTTTTTTCTGTTTCCCATCCTAATTGTCTATTCATCATAAGTAAACAGAATCATATTTCTATAATGTGAGACCAAAATTTAACACAATCAGGTTTGTTACATTAAGAGTCTAACTCTAAACAACAAAAGGACATCAAGTCCAAGAAGAAAAACGGAATTTGCTATTTTAAAAGCATAGTAATTAAAATAGTGAAACCTTTGAGGCCCAGAACTTGTTGGGACTGCCTTGTTTTCTGGATCTCTCAAATGTTCTGCCTTTGATGGGGTGCAGCCTTACCACTCTTCTATCGCAGCTACTGGTGACTTTTCCATCTTTAACAGGTTTCACTTTACAAAGTTTCTGGCTTTCTCAGGTTTCACTGCAATAAGACTTTCTCTAAAAGTATACTGAAGAATACTTAAAACCAGTAGCAGCAAAAAGTTTTGAACATGACTAAAAAAAAAACACAAAAAAACCCAAAAACACAAATTTACTAATATTTCTCAACTCCCCCCACCTCCCACCCCCCACAAATGCATACCCATTTCTGAAGCTTAAATACAATATACTAAAATAGAAATGGAGTCTTGGTGAGACACTGTAGGATAAGCACTGGACTTCTAACCACAAGTTGGTGGTGCAAAGCTACCATCCACTCCTCAGAAGCCCTACAAATGTCCACAAACTAACTCCATGACACTTAACAAAAAAATAGAAATAGCTCTATGCATTTATTTTATAGTCAACACATATAAACACTAAAGTCACATATTCTAATTGGCTATCTTAATGAAAATACCTTTTCTTTCTTCTTCTTTTCACATTCTTCAGCATTTTTTTTCTTAAGCCATTCTTGATATTTTTCTTTTGCTTTTTCTTGCAAATGTTCCTTCTCTAATTCTTTAGCTGCTTTTTCCTCCATCTCTTTATTAATTTTTTGCTTCCTTTCTTTTCTTTTCTTAAATTAAGAAAAGGAGAGATTTAATTGGAATACTTGTAATTATCTTTATACCGGGAAAGATAATTATATGCAGAAAGTTCAGTTATTTCTTAAAATGGGTGGTAGTTCTGTGGTTGACTTATGAAACATAGTTTACGATACAATATACCTGCAATTATTTATTCAGTGTTGGTCCGACTGGGATCTACACTTCATGAGGGCAGTGGAAAAAGATCTTTCTCATGAAAGTATACTCTGGGAGGGTGCTGGATAAAAAGTGGGTGCTCAATAATGATTTGTCGGGTAAATTGGTCAGTATCAATTACAACCTGGTATATTTTTTCTAAATTTTAATACTATTTAGTGAATATCTATCTACTCTCTAAAACAGAAGCCATATATATACACATTTCCTTATAAGATCATTTGCCAGTACTTGAAGTACATTCAAGTAAGTTCCAACTCAAGCAACCTTGTTGTATAGGGTTTCCAAGGCTTACAAAGCCTCATCTTTACCCCGCAGAACAGTGGGTGGGCTTGAATTGAGGACCTTGTGGTTCGCAGTCCTGTGCTTGTTATATGGAGCCACCGTGCTCAGTCAATATACATATTAGGGTAAATATTTCCCATTACTGATTTACAGCAAGACAAAAGCATAAACTTTTGCCCACTAAGTACTGCTGTAAGAGCACTTACAAGCAAATCTCTAGCAGTGTAATTCTTACAAGCCTTACACAGACGAGGGCCTGGCAAACTACAACCAGGAGGCTAAATCTTGTCAAACACCCATATTTGTAAATAAAGTTGTACTGCACATGACTACACCCATTAATTTACTTATTTATCGTCTATGGCTGTTTTTGCTCTACAGCAGCAAAAGAAAGAACTTAAATGGAGATAATCCACTAAAGTATTTACTATATGAGCCTTTAGATGAAGTTAGCTACCCTCCTACTAAACTATAACTTAATGTCCATTCCTTTCTCATATGAAATATTATCCACCAGATGAAAAATGTATCTACAAAATGATACTTAATAATACCACTGTTATTTAGTTGATTCCGATTTATAGCAACACTACATAGGGGCTAAAGTTTATAAATCTTTAAGGGAGCAGAAAGCCTCATCTTTCTCCCGAGGAACAACTGGTGAGTTTGAACCATCCACCTTGTGGTTAGCAGCCCAGTGCTTATCCTACAGCACCATGAGGGCCCCTAAAATATGATATAGTAGACATAACATATCTTTCTTTCCGTTTGCTTTAATTTCATGATTTCATGAAAGAAGGGGGGAAAAAAAATCACAGGAATGTTACTCAATAAATGAATGAAAAAAAAAAAAAAGTGGAATACACATATAACAGAATATTACAAAACCATATAGATAAATGAAATTCTGATACATGCTACAACATGGATGAACCTTGAAACCATTATTCAGAGTCGAAATATATTAATCACCAAAGGACAAAAAATGTACGGTATCACTTGAATGAAATATCTAGAATAGACAAGTGTATACAAACAAAAGATTATCAGTAGTTACCAGGAGTGGCCAGAAGGGAGGAGAGGGAGACTCATTACATCTGTCTGTCAATAAATTGAACCTTTTTTTTTTTTGGTAATGTCATAATTCTTTAAAATAGATCATTTTCCAAAAGTGACTCAAAAAGAAACAAAGCACAAGAATAACCCCACTTATAAAAAGAAACACATTGAGACTTCCAGCAAGTTGAATAAACATCAAGTAGTGTGTAAGTACAATGACATACTAGTCAGTACAAGAAATGAAGTCTTGATACATGTAACAGTATGGATGAAGCTTGAAGACATTATAATGAGCAAAACAGGACAATCACAAAAGGACAATTATTGTATGACATCTCACTTACATAAAAAGACAAAGCAAAGGTTTAGAAACCAAAGTTTATTAGTGGTTACCAGGGGCAGGAAGGCGGGGGGAAAGGGGAGACTCATGGTGATGGGAAAATCCTATTAATTAAGGGTAGGACTGCACAGTCAATCATTCCAATTGCTGTCAATATTCTATACACCTAAAAAAAAGGTGAACTAGCAAAAGTTGTGTGGCTTCAAAAGGATTGTAGAAAAATGGAACTGAAAGACAATGGCAGTCCAGGGCAAGATGGTAGAGTAGCAGTCACAATGAGTCAAATCTCTACAACAAAAATATGGGAGACCGAGTGAACCAGACACAGGTGGTAATCCTGGAACCCTGAACATCAGAGGAGAGGACAAAAAGGTGGACTGAGTGCCACCAGAAGAGGAGACTGAGCAGCAACAGTGAGAGAGAAGAAAACTAGGCAGATTGTGGGCTGGCGTGGTACGGTGTGACCATCTTCAGCTTTTGCAAATCGCAGTTGATACAGCAGTCTTCAGGCAGAGGACAAGGCTAGTGGTTGGTGGCAAGGGGTGCTCTTCTCCCTTATTCTGGTGCCTTCCTGGTACACAGGGGCGTGATCAGGTTCTGCCCTTGTCAACCCATCAGTGAGTGGCCCCGGCTCCAGTGCATCATCTGCTAGGCCCAGGGTCCAACACCTAGCATAGTGCCCCTGCTTCTGGAGATGTGGGAATCCATCCTGAACTACGCTACATAACAGCTAACAGAAAACTAACTGCATCCACACTTCTGTTCTCCACCATCATCACCAGCACACTGGGGCTAAATGACTGAAAATACACCCATATACAATCATCAACAGCACAATGTCTTGGAGAAAACAGACTATTTCAGCTTACACAAAGAAATAAGACAGAGTATCTCAAACAAGTGACCAAAATACAGAGTCAAGAAACAACACCAGCAATGGTTTTAGAAATTCCTAATAAAGGATTTAAGAGAATGCAACTTCAACAGATCGAGAGACCGGCTGAGAACACTATAGGTGAAATCAAGGATATCAAGGAAAACATAGACAAAACTAAGGAAAAATTCAGGCAACAAAATGATAAAATAAGGGAACCATACAAGAACAGCAATTAGAAAGCCAAAAGATTAACACTAACACTTCAGAAACAGAAAATACACTGAAAAGGTAAAGAAACAGAATTGAATCAATAGAAAGCCTATTTACTGAATTTGAAGAAAAATATCTCACTATTCATCTGATAGAGGTACAACCAGAAAAAAGAACCAAAAAATCCAAAGAAAGCCTAAGATTTATGGGGGACACTGATGTATGATAGGAATTCCAGAATAGGAAGAGACAAAAACACCCATAGCTAACACCGTCAAAGAATTACTGCAAGAAAATTTCCCTAACAACATGAAAGATGAGAAGACAGCAATGCAAGAAATTGAACAAACTCCCAACAGGATAGACCTCAAAACAAAAACACTAATACATATTCTAATCAAATTTTTCAAAACCTAAAACAAGTTAAAAATCCTGAGAGCAGCTCAGGAAAAACAAAAACTTAGCTAACAAAGGAGAAATAATAAGACTAAGCTCTGATTTTTCAGCAGAAATCAGGTAGGCAAGAAGACAATAGTATGACATATATAAAACTCTGAAAGATAAACAACCGCCAGCTGAAAATCACATATCCAAAAAAACATTCATTAAATATGATGGCAAAATTAAGTCATTTTCAAACAAACAGAAATTAAAATAATTTGTAAAAACCAGGCCAACCTTACAAAAAAATAATAAAAGGAGTCCTCTGGACAGCAGACAACAATCTGAGATTAACATACATGACAATATCATGTAGACTCAAATCAGATATGTTGTGACTGTTGTTTAAGTGCCACTGAATTGATTCTGACTCATAGTGATCCTGTGCAGGGTTTCCAGGGAGCAGCTGGTGGGTCTGAACCGCCAACCTTGTAGTTCACAGTCCAGGGTTTATCCAATAGTGCCACACCAGGATATAGAAGCATGCAAAGTAAAACAGACCAGTAAGACTAAAAAGAGAGAACCAGAAATACAGTTGTAACAACAATTTAAAAAAACAAAGTGAAAAATGGGAATAATCCATTTATAGAACTTCCAAATGAAGAGGAAATCAAATAAATTTCAAGAAGAAAATATATACTAAAATGAGGGGACAATAAAGGCACGAAGTGACTGGCTTACAAGGTTTCAAGAGGGAGCTTAGTTAAGAGTGTGGGGGGGAAAGAAAGAGTCCCCACTGAAGAGTTATCATCTTGTCTAGATGGGTCTGGTGAAAGGAGATGGGGATAAGATTCGTAAGATTCAGTAGTGAATAACTGTTATCATGACTA